CTCGGTTCCTTAGAGGTGTATTGCCATCGGATATCTGTGCCTACCCGGATGGATCGTCGGAGGGGCATGGTCGCTCAGCATGGGGGTTCGTCTTGAAGAGGGATGGAAAGACTCTGTTGAAGGGATGTGGTATCAAGCATGGTGGTGAAGTGCTCGATGCGGAAATACTAGGGGCGAGGAAGGCCCTGGAAGCTGCGCTAGGATTGTTGGAGAGAGAGAACGGGAGAAGTAACGGCAGGCAGTGGATCAACGTGTTGACGGATAGTCAGTCTGCAGTGAAGGCACTGCTGACAGGAACCGCCACAACAAGTCTCGACGATGTACGCCAATTTAGGGCGCTATCAGAAAAGGCTCGAGTCTCGGTTCAGTGGATACCAGCCCACTCCGGGATACAGGGAAACGAAGAGGCTGATAGAGTTGCACGCTCCGGCCTCCAACAACTTCCAAGTAAAGAGAGCCAGCCTGGCTCCGTCACTTTGGCGTACGTTCGTCGTCTGATGAACCAGAAACGTCAAGCTCTTCTCGAGGAATGGTGGGAGGAAGCATGTCCACCTAGGTATCGAAATCTGGGTCTACTCATGCGACGACGCAAGCCACAGGAGCAGGCACTTTCTCGGCGGTTACTACGTGAACTGATCTCAGCTCGAACGGGACACGGAAACTTCGCTGCATGTCACCGTCGTTTCAACAACTTCACCGCTTCTATGGAGTGTGCGTGTGGAGAGGAAACATCACCTCTCCACTTCATTCACTGTCGACTGCACGAACGTCAGACGCGTCGACTCCGAGGGACAATGTCACATCAAGACTTTGTCCAAAAGCTTCTCGGGCCTAAGTGCCTTGAGGATTTTACAAATTTTTCGCAGGAAACCGGCTGCTTCGGCGACTCACCTGCAAGTCCGTCACCAGCTCTCAGCGGAGACAACATTAACTAGGTCATAGCACGAAGCATGACAGGAAGGAAAACGAGACGAGGAGTGTCGCTTTCCCACCTCAAATTGGAGTATTGGATTTGGAATTTTGGTTATGGGAGTCTGTGGGAGCATTTAAATTCTTTCTTATAACTAGCTACTGGTTGTGTAGTGGGTCACGCAGTGAGACCGAGTCGGGCATGTGGGAAGCATGATCTTGGCCGTGTACACCGGTCCCTGACTCCTAGGAGATATAGAGCATAGCTTAGGACCTAAAATTTATAAAAAAATAAAAAAATAAAAAAAAACAAACAAACAGTTCTTGAAACCGGAGGACAAAGGCTGAACACCTGTCAGTGGTGTCCTCTACGAACCTGGGAGTGAAATATCCTCCCAGAGCCGAGATTCAGTCACGAAAATAGGTGGGATGAATTTTAATTGATTGACTTTCAACTTGAAGGAGTTGCACTCGATATTTTGGTCGAAAAATCAGTCGGCAGAGATTTCACAGCCGGAACAAAGTTGAACAAAAACTCATTACCACTAGCATACGATTCACGAATGGATTTAGGTCTATCTGGGAGTCGTATTCAAACATCCGACATATCTCAAACTCCTTTTATACTTGCGACGAAGCATTTCTCAGTCGATCCTATACCTGCGACCCACCTCCATACCCGTCCGATCACCTACCTACACGCGCCCTAATGAGGAAAGTCATGATGGAAACGGGACGTGTACAATGGAGGAAGAAGAGGGAAGATACACCGAGGGGATTACACAAATCCCCAATGACAAAAACAACCCAACAGTACGATATGAAGGTGCAAGGCTAGAGCAACGATGAGATCTTGGACGGCAATCATATTTCGGAGTCAATGAGGATGTCAAGGGCTCGGGCGCGTGGTGGCCAAGGCTGAGGAGGAAATCGCGCTACGGCGTGTATACAGCGGGTTTCTGGACGGTCAGGCTTGGTATGATTCAACACATAGGTGAAGTCTGAGGTTGTCCGGTCATTAAAGTGGGACGAGGTTTATCTGTACTGTACGGTAGCTAACCTGATCCAGCCCAACCCCACACGTGCTTAAGCTCCAATAGGAGTGCAACGGTAGCCATGTAACCTAGCACGTTAATGAACAAAACAAAACAAAAAAAATCTTGTGCTTGAGTTGCAATAAGAATTAGATTTCTCAAATACAAAGTTATTTATTCAGAATACACATGGCTATACTCGAGAACAACCATATTTTACAGATGAATCCACCTCAAACCCCACCTTCAAGACCTCGAATCAAACAATTATCCGGAGATCAATATATTTTAGTAAGCAGAAAAATTAGATATGAACAAATATAAATTAAAAGAAATTTTAAGATCTATGGGCTTCATGAACCTGGCAAAAACCAGACGCAGATTGCCGCGCAAGTAGGCATTTCTCGGGGACAAGTTAGTTATCACTGCGCCGCGGAACTGTCTCCCCCAAAAAGAGAAAAAGAACATCCTCAAGACTGAAAGCAGATGATGTTGATCAGATTATATCTTACGTTGAGTCTTCACCTGGAAACCGCCGCAAAACATTTCTGGAAATCGCCTCTGGCCCCTTTAGACATCTTGGTGTTAGCGAGCGGGTAATACAAAGAGAACTTCAAAAAAAAGGATATCAGCGACATGTGACTCATCTAAAGCCTCCAGTATCTCAACAACCTATGAAGACTCACAGAGAATGGGCCGAAGCTCATCTCAATTGGGCACATGAAGACTGGACGTCAGTTTTTTGGACAGACGAAACTTGGGTAGAGGAGGGAAGAAATTCAAGAGAATGGATGACAAGAAGTGTTCGTATATTACTCTATAAGAAGATGGTAATTTGATGTTCTAACATTATGAGCTAGACTTCTCAAGAATACAACGCTGATTGTGCTGGAGAAAAATCGAAGAATAGGGTCGGCTGGATGTTCTGGGGTTGCTTCGCAGGGCCAGAAAAAAACCCTTGTTTATTTTGGGAGAAGGAGTGGGGATCCATTAACTCCCAAAATTATTGCGAGAAAATAGTTCCTCTTATTGATGGCATGGTCTCGATGAGACCTTGGCTTTCCGTAATGCGAGATAATGCTTCTGCTCACACAGGAGCAAGTACAATGGAAGATATGAGCTAGAGGCTCATTTAACCGATTTTCTGGCTGGCCAACTCACCTGATCTTAACCCAATTGAAGCTGTTTGGAATAGGATGAAGGATTACATCCAGCGTCATCATCCGAATCTGGGTTGCGGAAAGCAGCGAACTCAAGATATTCTTTGCAAGATTGTAAATGAGGCATGGGATTCCGTGTCTTCCGAAGATCTTGTGAGATTCATTCAGAGTATGCCAGCAAGATGTCAGGCTGTGGTAGATGCGGATGGGGGACCGACCAGATATTAAGGTCTGAAAATTTTCCAGCCACAAATTCAGATCCAAGGTTAGGATAAGACTGTGGCTCTATTTTGTAATTCGAAAACTTTCGAACTCTTGTAAATAAGTTAAAAAGTCAAGCAGCAAAAATGCACAAATGTCATGCATCCGTTCATTATACAAATTAGGTTTAGTACGAAGGAAAGACCCACGACAAAGTATTGTGTCCAGATAAAAACTGCCCTACAAATTATTTCGGAAATTTGCACAAATACGGGGGCTAGCTCCAATATGGAAGGTGACTATGCCCAAGGCGTCTTAGATTATACGCTAAAACCTTGCCAAAGCCCCACTACAAACTTGACACCGTGGCACCACGGTATATTTACACGAGCCCAGCACCCAGAGGGCATGGCACGGGTAGCCCACATCTAAATAAGAATGTTCGCTACCTGCATGACTGTTCATAGGAACCAGAAACGCAAAGAACATAAAACAAATGAAATGAAAATTTAGAAAATGCCACTACCTTGCACTACATCTTAATCCTCGGGCCACACATTAAACGGACCCGAGAATCGTCACAGTTGATCTTTACACCCCTGTTTATTACACAATCTTGCAGTAACATTTTGTTAAAGTTAAATACCGCCAGAATGTCTGCCATTCATCTTGTCCTATCATGTCCCTTGTCATAGGTGGTGGTTCCTTCGTTTCTGTCCTCCAATTCTGAATTGCAGGGCGAAATTCTGCAAAACGCCATGGCCGTTTGTCACGTTCGCATTTGCATAGCAATTCTTCGTTCTGGTGTTGAAATCTTGAGGTATGACTACAATGGCGCAGAATTCAATCAGGCAGCTAAGGGGGTTTTTAGCGCAAGGTCTTCTCCCGTGTAAATATTAGAGTTCGTAGACATCTTCACGCGCCTATCGGACGCCAAATCGGGCCATCTGGATTGAATCGGCTGAAATTCAAACAATTGTGTAAAACTTAGAGAGGTCTTCGTGTGAGTGTCATGTGAATCGTCAAAAGATGAAAGCGAATACAAGAATGAATTGATTAATTGTCTCCGTGCTACAAGTCCATCGTAGCACTATAATATCTAGTTCTACCCTATTGATACCCCTGATCATCATTACTAGTCTGACATGCCTGCTCGCAGATCGTGCTTTCGCTTTTGGACTGGATCCAGACTTATGCAAGCATAAGTCTGCTTACAAATTGGTTATAAAAATTGTGTCACTGTAGCAACACGGATAACCTTTAGTGTCTACAACTCCTGTACATCAACAATGCATGACGAGCTATGAAATATACTTTACAAATTCTTTCGTTACGCTCATAACATAGCTCTAGAAGCATAAAATCTTAAAAAATTTCAGCATCGTAAGGGTCAGCATATTTTGTGCACCAGTTATTCGATTTGGCCTATGCCTGTAAAATAAAATCTTAACCTAGAAAAGGAAATGTGCTCATAGACTTTTAACCTTCAACATTAAACCCCCTCCACGATTAACTACTTTTAGAAGATAGAATTTTAAAATTCTGTACCCTACGAAAACTCTATTGTAGCCGCGTCTGATACTTCCAATCTACAGATTTATGTAGACTAACTGATTGTTTAGAACACAGTCTTATTCCCAACTAGAAATCAAGCACAAAAATACAACACATACGGTCAAAAGTTGTAGCCTTTAATATGTCAGAAACGGCTTTAAATGGAAATGGAGTAAAGGAAAAACTGCAATGCTCCACTCAGCAAAGTCATGAGGAAAATCAATATCTAGAACTTATAAGGGAAATTGTGGACAAGGGTGAACACCGCCCCGATAGGTAAGAAAAGGTCCGATAGTTCAGCTCACTTCCTCACGATTGAAGGACTGGAACCGGAACGATATCCACATTTGCGCCTAGACCTCTTAAATTTGAACTATCCTCCAGCTCAGGTGCTCTAATACTCCCCCTCATAACCACAAAGCGCGTGTTCATACGTGCGGTAATAGCGGAGCTTCTGTGGTTTATATCCGGCTCGACCTCTTCCCTTCCTCTCCAAGAAGCAGGCATCAAAATATGGGATGGAAATGGATCACGTGAATATCTTGATTCTGTCGGCCTGTCGCACCGCGCCGTGGGAGATTTGGGACCGGTCTATGGCTTTCAATGGCGACACTTCGGTGCTGAGTATGTCGATTCCTCGACGGACTACACTGGAAAAGGCATCGACCAACTCGCCGACGTAATCACGAAATTAAAATCAAATCCATACGATCGTCGAATTATAATCAGCGCCTGGAACCCCAAGGATCTCAAATTAATGGCCCTTCCACCCTGTCACATGTTTGCCCAATTCTATGTCTCTTTCCCACAAGGAGCCCAGCTCCCTGGGAGACTTCATTGTCAACTATACCAGCGAAGTTGCGACATGGGACTTGGGGTTCCATTCAATATTGCTAGCTATGCCTTGCTGACGCACATGTTGGCTCACGTCTGCAATCTTACCCCAGGAACTTTCACACATACCATGGGTGACGCGCACGTATATGTTGATCATATTGATGCACTAAAACTACAGTTGACGCGTGAACCACGCCCTTTCCCTGAAGTGGAGATCAAGAGAGAGAAAGGATGCAGCGTGGACGGCTGGAATGTGGAAGACTTCATTATCAAGGGCTACAAGCCGCATCCAAGCATACCAATGAAGATGTCTGTATAAAAAGCTGAAAAAGTCACTGCATAAAATGATACCGGCTCACAGAAATTTATCTTTACTGAGCTATCAATAAGTGATTTCAAACTCACAATACTGTCGATGGTCTCATGTGACACAACTGCTGGAATCTAGCTCAGATGGGAACACGTCATGCATGTGTAGAGTAGGATAACACAATAGACTGTATCTGAGAATTATATTTGTTAATCTTCCAGAATGATCTCTGATGACTGGATCTTTAATAACTGATGAAGCGAATGGCCAATAGATGAAATTTAAGTCTCCTTGCGTTATCATCATTTGCCCAGCTGTTATCTTCAACCAGCTACGGCATCTTAAGTACAAAATATTGAACTCGATCAACGGTTATTTAATACCGAAGATAGATTCCAGAAATTACAGTCAGCTTAACAACAAAATGGTTGGAAAATTGACCATTTAGTGGTGATGGGTATGTGTCAAGTAATACTGCATTGTCAGCTGGTTTATTGAGTTATAACCTTCCACTCCCTAGACTCTTAAATTATATGTATTATTCCGGATTTGTGCATTACGTCATATAATTCCCACAAACTGTAATTTGCCCTCAGCTATTTTCTCCCTTATGATTACTCTCTCTTAATATCCGAATAGCAGGTCACTATTTGGATGATTACCGGACATATGACTTTATTTAGTCCATCTTTTATTGTAGGACACATGAAAACACTATCGAAAACCGACAATTTCAATGTAATCTTATGGATATCGAATAGGGCATGACCCTCAGGATCACCTGGCACATAAACGTAATGTTTAAATTAATAATTAACCTATTAATTGAAGAGCTATTTAGGTAGATCTTTAAGTAGTCTTTCATAGTCTAGGACTCAGTAGAGACTTAAAATTAAATCAATCAATCAATCAATTATGGATATCGAGCTCCTGACAGATATCGTCTGTAACTACTCCGATGACTCACCATGTGACTCTTCGAGATCTGCTCTTGGATGCACAGCAAATAAAGAAGATTTCTCAGTCGGTATTGTGCAGGGTATAATACAAGGTGCAGAAAAAGTATTTTCGAGATTCGCAGTATCTCGGATATCTTCAGAGGTGTTGGAGATGTCGCACAATCAAATAGGCTCAGTATTGCCAGAAATTTGACAGAAACCGAGTTAGTGATGGATAAATTGATTTATTAAGCTATATGAAGAGAAGAGACATCTCTAGCTATTACATATAGGTACTTATACCGTTTGTTCTACTTCGTGAATCTGTTGACCGATAACTTTCCTCAAGGCCTAATACTTGCTACCGGGGGAGACTATTCTCAACACCTATCAGTGGTATGCCTTACGAGCCTCCAGCCCTCAGTGTAGAGTCTTCAGAGCCGAGATTGAGTAACACCTTATCAACTTTGAGCTGAGTTATCTCCCCCTCCGTCAAAGATACGCTTTCGATAACACATAAGACGACCAAGACGACGATAATGATGCTGGGAATGAGGAGGGATAATGCGGTACCAAACGCTACAACGGTAGTCAGTGAAGCCTTCGTTATATCATGACATGTGCTACCCACCGGCGGACGAACAAAAAGCCCACGAAAGCAATCTAAGACCCTTCCGCCCTCAAGAAAAGCAGATTTCGACTCGTCAAAAATATCGTCCCTTCTAATCTATACTTCCGACTCTAATAGCCAGGAGGGCATCAGAAATACATGAGTTACTCGACGACCACACGTCTGTAACGACTTTTGGATGCTAGGCTAGGCTCCTTCACGGCTCTCACTCTCGACCAAGACTTTTCCCACATCCTTTCACGGCCTTCGATTTGTCCTGCGGCATGAATCAGGGAAGGAGAAAGGAGGAGGCTTGGAAGGTTGAGAGACGCTCTTAGGTCTACACAGGTCTGCTGCGCGCGGCTGGCCGACCTCTTCGTCATAGGAGTGCCCCGCACTCAGTGGCTTTTGAGACTTTCCCCTGCAGCTACACACCCGTAAATGGCCATTTTTTCGTTGGCTGGAGAGGGGAGATAATGACGGGATAACGGCTCCTCTATTTGAGTACTCGAATGAAGACCCGTGGGGGGTATTACTGCTGGAAAGAAGTCGTGAAGAAGGCCTAGGAGGGATTACACTACTCGAGGCACAGATACTCCCGGCCAGTAGGTAGAAAGGACATACATGTCATTACATAGTTATATACTCATCAGGATAATAAACATTCATTCACATTCAGGATGATCAAAGCTCCAACTTGAGATCTTTTTATCACCAACACATGTAATTTAGTCCATACGTAATTTTGGAGAGCGAGGAGAAGACAGTCTCTCCGAGAAACAGTTTTAGATGGCTGTATAGCATCAAGGCTGAAGAGAAGCAGAGATTCCATTGATATATTTTTACTTTACATTTTTGATTTGACCTTCAGTATCTAACAGCTTCCCAAGGCAAAATCTAACAATTCCCATTGAATCATCGACTTTCAAGTACATCTGAATTCCCTTGACCATTACACATAGTTTTTCCCCTTATTGTTCCTCTCTCATGGACTCACAGAAATTTGATGACCTCTAGGGCCCCGGACGAAGAATCGGAGTCGCTCACGTCGTTGTCTTCGTGTCGAAGTTTTTCGCTTAGATTGGATTCAGCAGCTAAAGAAGCCATCATGAACGAAAGGGAGCAAGATGAGCTCACTTATCAGACGGGATAAGAGGGCTTTGAAGACCATGCACCAGCGGCACTTTTCGGGGAATACATCTAGATCAATATCATCCCCTGCCCAATACTAGTCTTAGCGTATAGCATGTCTTGGTGGGTCAAGTAATGGGTTGGTTACCTCATGGGTTGAGTTCAGGGTTTATCTCATGTAACGTTGAGTTGTCGTGTGGGTTGTGAGGAAGCTCCAGTTCAGTTTTACCTAGAGTATGACTAGTCGCTTTACTGCTGATGACGTTGGGCATACGAAGTTCTTGCATCATAATTACCTATTGGAGGTTACCTACTTATTCGAGCTACTTGTATGTCATAACTTTTACCCGGCGATATTATCTATCTGAGACGTCTCCCTTGCAGCACTATCCAGGTAGGACATTCAGGGACTGATTCAGTTGCTGAACGAGAGAAGGGTATAGGAAACCGAGGTAAAGTCGGAAGAACCAACAAGAATGACGAGAAGAAACGCTGCTTTACCAAAATAGAATGGTGCAAAACTAGACTTCGGTTTTTTTTCGACAGGCTGTATTGGAGGGTGGTGGCGTATTTTACTGTATACACTTGATATCTTCAATGGAATAAGTCCTCTTTGATTTGAGGGGTTAAAGAAAGCTTGGGTGGTAGGGACGCGAAGGTTATCTTAATGTGTGATATTTTTGTATTATTTTATTCTAAATATTCTACATTACAAGAATTTGTGGACCATGATATTGAGAACTGATCTACCGGGTCTCACTAGGGCATTATCCTACTTCTGCTACTCGTCCGCATCTCATCACATGAATGGTTCACAATAGTTTACACGTACCTAGGACTTAGTAAGCTAGTTCCAACATCTTACTAGAACTAATGTGTTCGCCTCTGAGACTGTCAGTTTTAGCAGCGTTAAATCACAACAGGCTGGAGACGAGAATCGAGGCGAATTCTGCCCCTTTTCTAGATGACCGGACCTTATGTCTACATATGATTGAGACCCTGCAGGAATCGCCAAAGCCGAGAGTGGCGAGATGATTTGAGAGAAGGAAAGCTGACAGAAGTTTCAGCTGGAGGAATCTAGTGTTCCATCCGAAGGAGATGTTTTCGGACAGATAGGCTCGACAAGTGACTTTGGATCATGTCTACCGAAATGGCGCAAAGAGAAAACCAATTTTTTGCAGATTTCTTGCTAAGCTTTGAGTACCGAGTCGCCCTGAGCGGGAGGGGGCAAGGCCATGAACTTGAAAACAGGCCTTAAGAAAAAGTTACGAACGTCCTTGGTGGGAGTAAAGCTTACTCCACCGGAGAGATATGACGACTGGGTAGAGGGAGAGAAAGAGGTAGTATTGGGGCTGGAGGGGCTAACAAATTACTTACCACATGAAGCAACACAGATAGTGACAAGCTTAGGGGCACCAAAGAGTGGTTGCTATCAAGTCGTAGGAAAAGTGGTTTGTCCACTTTTGCCTTGAAGAATTCTTTTTTTTGGCTGTGGCCGCAGGATGCGGCATAGCTTTTAATATTAGGACTGCTTATTGTTGCAATTCATTTCGAGCCATCGTAGCTTAAGGTATTTTTATAGGTTGAGCTAGGACGGTAGGTATAATTGTGCTCCTGGCATTGGGAGCTCTCAGGGGCTGATTAGACGGGCTAAGAGAAGAATGGATGATATGGTGACCAGGCTTGTTGCCATGTACTGCACTATAGAGGTGCGTATCAAGACTATCATCGAGTCTACGCGTTATCTATTTGCACCGTTGGCCATAGGGGAGAGTGATATTTCGAGGCCGTTGATGGCGGCGGAGTAGAGTGCCAGATTTATCTCTGTTTCGGCGGCGCGTCGTAATTTAGCCTCCAGAATTGGTCGGAGCTAGGGTGGGCACTGTACTTTAATGATAGCTTTAGACCGCGACTCTATTGATTGAACAACTTTTGATAAAGCTTTCTCTGATGATTCTGGCTCGGTCGGAGAGGTTTTTGACAGATCTCCAATCCTGTGGGGGATGGAGACTAGTAAGGGAATTTCTCGAAATTTTTAACTAGCCCGATAATGTCAGTATTGAGCTCGTTGATGGCGAGTAGAAAGTTTCCTTCCCTTTCGAATTTAACTTACTAATTCTCACGTACATTCGAGACTATGCGAGGCCTTGTGTTCTCATCAAGTAGCCCAGGCTGTCTCGTTTTATCCAACAAGTCGCTCAGATGCATTTTTCGAACAGAGCGTTTTAAAAATGTCCGAAACTCGTTCACAGTTTTTGAATTAATACAACAAGATAGCGAGAAGGGGAAAGGGTATTTTTGAATTTCAAAGAACTGTGCGTTTTTGTTTGTTTATTAACGTGCTGGGCAATTGAAACCCTCCAGACTCCTGTGGGAACTTGAGCACCAGTTGGGCCGGGCTAGATTAGATTAACAGCCATGAGGTAGATAAGCCTCGTCCCACATGGATAACTGGAACACCTCGGACTTCATCCATAATTTAATTATGTCGAGTCAAATCGTCCAAAGGGTGGGATTTTAGCGCGTCGAATCGTATATTCTTCAGCAGACTATATTTAATCCCTCCCGTTCAGTCCCAGATTTAAATCGTCATAACGTCTCCTCATCTAGTTGCCCACCGAGGCGTCCTCCGTTTGACTTCCCTACCGGTCCTCCGTTTTATTTTCTCCTTTATCCGTTAGGCAGTATCGCCTTCTCATAAACTCTGTAGACTATGCCTTCTTCCAGCCTTTTCCCGTCGTTGACGTATCTCTAATCGTGGAGGCCGAATATGGGTCGAAGAACTCAGATCCAAGGCACTTATAACCCACTCATTATTAAAAACTCTCGTTAGTATGCGGTGAAATGTGATACGTATCTCGTCGGTGGCTATTATTTGAAGTTCGAGAAGTTGGTACCATTCCCCAAGGTGAGGACGTACTAAAGGCCAGTAATTCGACCATACCTTCACAGCGGGGGAGCAGTCCAGAAGAGTTGGAAGTACTCAGATTTCTTTGTTGGCAATTATAATTTTTGGATCTATATGACAGCCTCGGTAGGTGGTGAGGCGATTGTGTAGTGGGTCGTGAGATGAGTTAGGATGAAAGAGATCTTCCAGGAAAATTGAATTGAGGACTCTCAGTTGTTGTAACACAAACATTAGACGGATTTTAACCTATCCAACTACCGTATACAAATTGTAAGTAATTGATCTCTATGAGTTTTGCATTCGTGAAATCTCCGCGGGTAGGCCATTCGACCAAAAACAAGTCAACATTACTTATTCGGGTCGAGAACTCGACAAAAGTCCTAAATTTCACTCTTTTTCGTAACCAAATCTCGACATTGATGGAATATTTCACCCCCAAATTAGAAGAGGACACCACTGACAGGTGTTAAGCCTTCGTCATATTTGTTGGAAATTGGGACAGAGCGTTGTGGACGTACGGGCCCTCCATTTCGTCTGGTTCCTGACACGATCTTGTGTGTATTTAAGAGGTTGGAATGGGTAATGTGGTAGTGCTTCAGGCTATCTAATGGATACGGGGGCGGCTGTACGGCGTGGGCACTTGAAGGTTATTGGGGCTTTTCTATGCCAAGAAGGCGCTACGCTTGTTTATGCTGTGGCTCAGGCTACTTGTCACTTACACTTGTAATTATAGAGCACACTTTCCACACTTTTAGCTACAACTCGAACATGACACTCTTTTAGTCGACTTCTACCTTCGTTCCACAAATATTGCGCCCATTTCATTGCACGATTTTTGAATTAGTTGGAGGGAGGCCAGAAAGTCAGAGTTTGAATTTCCCGAGGTACACACAAGTCTGCAGCGCCCAGCTGGCCGACCTCTCCGAACGCTTCAGAAGGGGCACTATGTCTTCGGATTTAGTCCCAATGTCGGTGTTAGGAGAGCTCTGCGCCCAGTGATTTTTGCGAATTTTCCCGGCTGCCGTGCACCCGGAAATGGCCATCGTTTCGTTAGCCGGAGAGGGGAGATAATGAAGGGTAAAGGGCTCCTCTAAGTGTATGATTGAATGAGGGGTTGTGAGGAGTGGTACTGTTTGAGGGGAGCTGTATAGGAGGCAAAGGATGGGATATACTACTGGTATAGGTATTCTTGGCCAGTAGGCAGAGAGGACCTGCATGTCCCACATAGTCACAGACTCAGACAGGACAATAAAATGAATTAATAACAATTGCGTGATTTTTCCAACCACAGTCAAGACATGGCTTGAGACCGTAGGGTTGTGTTGAGGTATCAGACCTAGTAGACATGTGCTGCTTTTTATAAGCAGAGTTAGATTAATGCCCAAGACACGCAGTTAAATACAGAATTCTGATTTAGACCTTGATACCTAATTGGGTTTACATTTCTAATCTTTTATATATCGACGAATATTCATTATATCAAATCATTTTTTATCTGCCTTTTTAGGACGCAAAATTAATTATATAAGTTCGTATGAATTGTCTATTTCAGCATTAGAGAAACCCAATCTTTAGATGTCATTTATAAATATTACAAGGAAGTTTTTTTTAATTAAATAAAGTTAAGCATTCTCCTTCAGTTTCCACTAAAGAGAAGTTTGAAAGTATTTGATTATCAAAGCTTGCCTTTCATGTTCTATCAGAAGAATTGCAACTATTTTTTTCTTGTCGTATTGGTTTCAACAATCATCTATCTCATGTAAGACAAGAATTTGATCAATATATAGTTTGATGAGAACAGGCTAGATGATTTACTTCTGCACTAACCGACTCGAGTATCGTACTAATATTATATAAATCCCTAGGTCCAAGTTTGCGAATGGCAGCCATGGACCATCCACTTTTCAGCGCTTGGAGAGGCTGTGACAATTTTTATAGTCTTTATTACAGTTATTTTCAATTTGAAGGGGATAGAAGACTGCTGGTACGAATTATTCGATCTTTAACTACTTCTTCCTCACGTTCCCATCTTCCAGAACCAGGCTGTGGAAAATTCCCAAAATTAAATAAGCCTTGTGGCTTTGATTCTCCACTTCTTCTCTCTTTTTCAGCTAGTTGCTTCACCATAATCATCCAGTTCTCTAGGCCAGCTTCTAAACATCGTTTACAAGTTTCTTTGGTGTCTTCTCCACTATCTTTTTGTAATTCGACCTCAGCAATATCTACTGCTTCACGAGTCCAAGCTAATCCATCTTCTAGATTAGATTTTGATTGATTTAAAGAGTATAAAATTTCTCCAATATTTAACATAGTACCTGCCATCTCACAGTAGCCTTTAGAATCCTGATTTGGAGGTTGTGAGCCATCGCTAGGCGGTGGTGGATACTTTGGCGGGGTGAAGCATTTTTTTATGAATACAAGAGCTTCTTTCCATAATGGATTTGTATCTTTATCGTTCGTATCAATTGTAGAGAGCATGGTAGGCGATGGCTTTGGGAGAGATTTTCGGGACCGGAGTATAGTTATAAATATAGGTAGAGCTAAATCAACTCTAGAGTTTGTAGCATAATGTATGGCTAAAGCTGTCGTTGAAGACAGGATGTTTTCACTTGGAAGACAGTGGTTGGCCTTGATAACATAGGTCGATGCATCAACGATGGACGATGAAGTATCCTGAGAAGATGATGCGATATTCACAGCCCACTTGAACATTTTTTCCGCAAGTTCTGGCTTTCCTTTGTACTCAAGCCATGATCCATAGGCAATTGCTGAATCAACTCGTTGTTTTTCTGTGAACCCCTTAGTCGTAAGGATTAACTTATAGTAGACCTCCGGGCTCTCAAATGCCTTCACACAATCGTCCTCAGCTGGTGGAGGAGGCATGTTGACCGGTAGGGGCCGAGGTTTTGGGTTAGAAGGACCCGTCACTGAGCTTGCAGGCCAAGCAATAAACTTATCTAAAGCTTTGTCTCTAACGTAATCATCTAACTGTTCGGCAACTCGTACAAGCCCTGCCAGAACTTCATAATATCCACGCCTCCAAGGCTCTGAATTTTGAGAAACATCATATCCTAACTTTCCTTCTATATCGAAAGGCAAAGCAGAAGTACTTTCGGATTGTTCGACTATTCGCTGTCCTTCGCGACTAGAATCATGAAGTTTTCCAATTACCCTTTTGTATGAGCTACCTATCATCAACCAATTCTTGATCCAAGGGTCATCGCTATCCTCGCGTGCCTTGGCAGCTCTTGTTTCCAATCTTGTATTCCAATTCCATTCATCAGGAGTGGGATATTTGTGTGCGCGGTATTCCTCTTGAATTCCAGTTGCCATAACTAATAGCAAGAATCCAGTTGCTGTAATTATTGCAGAGTATCTGACACCAATCTTGATTTCTTGTTTTAGCCATTCTTTAGTTTCCGTCGATATCAGGCGCGTTGTAGGCTGTCGTGTAAAAATAGGAAGGAAGGAGAGTTGCGGACGGGAAGGTTGTGAAATGGTGTTCAGATATAATGATCGCCGAAATAGACAAGAACTAGTTGGCCTATAGAAGAAAGTTCCAATAGTTCTCGGTATTGAAGGTCGTAGCCGCATCCCGTGTAGAATTTACAGTAGCTAACCACGATAAATGTTTACAATGGCTTAATTTTGCCAAGTCAGCCCAAATTAATTATTAGTCATCTTGCATCTAGAAAAAGCCTCAGCATTCTTCATGAGATCTATGTATGATCTATCAAACCCCAGATAAAAACCGTCTCACCTTCCAGAATCATGAGCTATTTCGAAAAATTTGATGAGGTACGGCTCAATGCCTCTGCTGACTTCCACGTCCATCTTCGAGATGGGACAATGATGAAGACTGTAGTGCCTACTATCCGGGCCGGCGGTGTTAATACCGTCTATGTGATGCCAAATCTAAACCCCCCTCTCATATCTATCTTGGACGCTCTAGCATACAAAGAAAGGCTGCAGCAAGAAGACCCAAGCATTACCTATCTCATGAGCATGTATTTGCATGAGAGTATAACTCCCGAAATGGTCGTGGAGGCAAAGGCGCATGGTATCATGGGTATTAAAAGCTATCCAGCTGGTGTTACAACTAACTCTAGCTCGGGTGTGCTTTCATACGAGCCTTTCTATCCTGTGTTCGCAGCTATGGAAAAATGTGGAATGATACTCAATTTACATGGAGAGTGCCCCAGTGATCACGAAAAAGATATCACTATCTTAAATGCCGAGCACAAATTTCTTCCGACCTTACTTAAATTACATTCAGATTTTCCTGCGGTTGGTTCTACTCCAATAATAATAGAATTTTCCGATAATAAACTCTCCTCTAATAGTTAAAAATTGTGCTTGAGCACTGCACGACAAAGGCAGCAATTGAAACTGTCAGAGAATGTGGAGCCAATGTGGTTGGGACAATAACTGTGCATCACTTATTTCTGACTGTCGATGACTGGGCCGATAATGTACATCATTTCTGGTATGTAAGCCATAATATTACTAAAACAAACTAATGCAAACAAATAGTAAACCAGTTGCTAAGTGGCCAAGCGACAGAGCAGCTTTAATTAAGGCCGCAATCGACGGCTCCGGCAAATTTTTCCTGGGGAGCGATTCTGCTCCTCATGATATTGCAGCCAAACAAACCAAAACAGGGAAAACTTGTGCTGGTGTCTTTACACAGCCGTACGTAACCCAATTCTTCCTGGAGGCTCTTGAGCAATCAGCCAGGGATGGCATCATCTCACCTGATATGGTAACCAAAGAGATATTAGGGGGTTTTCTAGGAGACTACGGCCGCAATTTTTATGGAGTTACCATCGGGAATACGGAACATATTGTTCTACACAAGAAGAGCGAGATAGTTCGGGAGTCATTCACTGGAGAAGGAGTTGAAGTAGTGCCTTTTAGATGTGGCAAAAGTGTTTGGAGAATCACATGGACATGAATTCTCAACGGGCCGACCTAACCGAAAAACAAAATAGCTTAGTTCTCAAGATGCAAGCGCTAACGCTTTAAATGATTCATCCTGCAAGGCTTGCAATCCTGGGCTATACATGCATTGCTGCACATGAGAAAATGGCGGTGTTGTCTACAGCAAATAGATCCACTATCTCTTGACCGCCACGACTTAGGTAAACCATGCATTGTAGAGTCAATTTGTGTACGACGGGTTGATTATATGGTGTTGGCTTACACGTACCAAATCATCTGATACGATCTCGCCGCATCGGCGAATGAACTTGCCGGCAGCCTACTTGACTTTAATCACTACCTAGATCTCAGATCTTCATCGAAAAGACATTCCACAAATGTGTAGGACCACAAATTTAGCAAATTTAACAGCGGACCTGATTATTAAATACTACGAAAGTCTCATGGCAGCCACACATCTCTCTCGACCATTATGTTATAAATAAAATACTCAAATAGCATGACTCCACTATCTTTAGTAAGAATTCTTTCATCAGTAAATTGAAAAGAAATAGTAACCAATTACATTAGTCCTCATGTCACTACGTTTGGAACCCTTGTAAAGTGCAGTCATTTTCTCTCACTTCGGCAGATGCTACAATCACATCGCCGGCATCCTCGGAAAACAATGCATTTGCTCGTTTGCATCGCTACCCGACGAAACCTTCGGCGTGCAGGGGACTAACCATGTCAAGACCCATCTAATTAGACTTCCTGCAGATATGGGAACTCCCGTCGCTCCTAGGAAGCATCAAGCTGGTACGTAATTCTTGAGCTATCTTAAATCCTATTAGAATAATTATCTCTGTAGCTACTAGAACCGATTAGCACACATTATTATCCCAAAACCGATAATTTGTGTTGAAATTGATGACGATCACGAAATATAATACAGATGAATTCCTCGCCCACTCTATATTACATTGTTGCGAAAGAGTCCCAACATTATGTCACTCACCATACTGGCTTCTGAGATCCTTGCAGCCGCCAAAGAAATTGATAAATCTCTCAATGAAAGCAACAAAGAACAGATCCAACCCTCTTCGAGTGCTTCCAGCCCTAGTGTATTTGACAAGATCTCCAAATGCTCCTTTGACATTGTTTGTGTCATAGGAAATCTCATCTTCCGTCCCTGGCGGTTGATATTAGGGGATAGTACAGTAAATCATCAGAGCCTCCTACACACTAGCAGTACGGTTTCAGGAAAAGATGATGAAAGAAGTATCAGTTATTTTGAAAGGTACAATGCTCTACCTTCAGAATTGTTGTCTAAATGCGAAGTTTTAATCAACAACTGCCACCGTATCCGGACCTTAATTGAAGCCCCGGAGACAGCATTAGTCAACATATACAGCAATGTAAGTTTTTATTTGAATGCTCTGATGGCACTTAGGTACTCATGATTCTCAAGTGGACCGAGATGGTATCGCTCCAGGTAATTTGCCACTTCGAACTATTCAAAGCCGTTCCACCGTCAGGGTCTGCCACCTACTCTGAAATTTCAGCTGCCACTGGATTGCCCTTACATCTTGTCATTCGATTTATTAGGATTGCTATCTTAAACGGGATATTTACTGAGCTTGTTCCTGGGCAAGTCAGTCACACGCCACGATCTCATTGGCTCCTTACTCGCGGACAAGGTTTAATTGATATCATAAATGTTAATTGCTACGAGCTAGCACCGGCCGCTCTTCGCTATCCCGAAGCCATTGAAAAGTACGGTGTTGCCGAGGAACCTGAACAAAGCCCTTTCGCTCTCATCAACAGCAATATGCCCATATTTCACGTGTTTGCCCGAGAAGAATCTCGCCGACTCCGCTTTGGGAACGCTATGCAATATCTTACATCAAACGAAAGCTATGATGTTCGTCACATACTAGTTGGACACGATTGGATCAGCGATGATAAAGTTGGTGCTCGTGTACTTGACGTTGGTGGGGGCCTAGGTCATGTCTCAATTTTTCTTGCCGAACAAACAAAATTTCTAAATTTCACCGTGCAGGACCTCCCAAATGTCGTGGAGGATGCCATTAAAAACAAAGCCACTCTCATCAAGAGCCAGGTTCAAGATCGTATCTCTTTTTTACCGCTATCTTTTTTCACGCCACATCCTGCTTCTGACATTTTCTATGATGTCGTGTTCATGCGTTGGATCTTACATAACTGGAGCGATAAGCATGTCCGCCAAATATTCCGTTCCTTATTGCCAATCCTCCGCAAGGGAAGTCGAGTACTTATCATTGAGTACCTGCTAGATGAAGAATGTATAGGTGTCAATGCTACGCACAATATCGGATTACGATGTGATCTCATGATGGGGGTCGGCTTTGGGGCAAAAGAACGAACGGCCCGCGAGATCAGAGCCTTGATGGAAGAAGTTGCGGCGGAATTTAATGGACTATGGAGTAACTGGAGCGTGCGTAAGCCAAAGTGCAGCACTATGGGGTTTTTGGAGGCTACATGGGAAGGCGTTTGAGAATTGAGAATTAATTGTAACATGGAGCTTGCACGGATTTGATGAAGCAGCACTTTTAGGGGTATTTTTTAGTTCGCTACATCCTGCTTACAATAAAATCTTTGGAATTTTGGCCAATTTATTATCTTTGATGATGTACTCTGAGGCAAATGATGATGAAAGACGATAAGCAATACTCTATTCAAAAAATACTATAGTCAGGATGACAATAGAGCAACTTTTCAATTTTGCTATTAATGAATAAATTATATATATCTTGTAGAATCAAATTTCTCTCAAGCCTGATAAAAGATTGTAACTAATCGCGAATAGAGAAGGATGAGCTTTATCCACAAGCCATTGCAATTCTAGCAGAGTTGAGAAGATCGGCATTTAAGCTCGAAAGCAAATTTGCTAGCAATGTCTTGTTGGCGTTTTCAACACAGATGTTCAACTTTTCAGGCGATATACCTAGCAAATCATGTATCGCGCGACTGGTGGTTAATTTTCTATCTTCAAAAATTAGATAAAATTCTGTATGAACGGATCTGCGTAAAAGACTTATATAAGATTAGTAAGTACTATTACACAGGTCGAAAGATTTTCGCTCCGCATCCAGCTATGGCAGATTGCCCTCTTTTTTTTCTAAATATTTTTAAAATGGGATCGTGGTCTATTCTACTATCTAGTCATAGCTAGAGCTGTCTCGGGGATTGTTGAACTCTCATTGTGATAAAATCTTGCTGCAGCTTTGGTTTAGAAAGCTCGGCTTCCGAATCAGCGCAGTGCTGTCAACTGGATCGAGCCCCAACACGATGCGGTCAGGGATAAATTAGATAATTGAGATATGAGTTCAGCAATAGGGGAAGTTAATACGCGCACAAGCTATGACCTTTAATTAAAATGGGGCAAAGTCAGGACTCATTGTCATGTGCTAAATTTCTACGTGACCCACTGATAGGCCTTTGTTGCTTGATTCCGGCCTAGATTTCAACTTGCATGATAAACATCTGGGCCCACTGGTGCGTCGACGGAAGCCTGTTAGACTAGCACTGTCCCGAAGGCTATCAGATAGAGTCTCAGAGGTATATCATGGCCGCTTTTATCACGAAGGCGCTAACTATCAATAGCCATGCGGATTGTTGTCCTGCCTGGACCAGGCACCATAGCTCCTTCAAGCAGCAGCAGTGCCACAGCTTGTGACAGAAATTCTTCCGATTGAAAAGCGCGGAAATTGAGCAAACTTCCTTCTTGGCCAGGTCCCGAAAGACGGATACAATTTTTCTTGTTCACTTCAGGCTTCATTCGTTGCCGAAACCCGGCAGGAGCCAACAGCCGCTAAAATTGACACCGACTCAATATTCTCCGACTCATGGACGCGCCGCTCGTAGGAATCCCCGGACTCGGAAGGAATACTTCGACTAGCAATCTCTAGGCTTCCTCTGGAATACCCTCCAACCATTATCCTCCCCTTAGCGCGGTCCGCTAAAATTGGGCCGGCAGATGACCGTCCTCGCCTCCTGGTCTACCCTCGCCGTCACGGATTCCACAAAGTCAACACTTGCACACGCCAGGCAAGATATAGTACTTGCACATCAGACTCTCACAATAGCCTGTGTATGACACCAATTAATCACTCAAATTGCGCTGGCCCTCATGAGGCCTCTTCTCCTGGTAGTCCAGCCGGAGCCTTTCTGTGACGCTCTGTGTGAGCTCACAAGTCTACCACATATAGTAAGATATCAATTAGATCCATAGGTCTAATATTGTGCCCTTACAGGCCGGTTGTCATTGTGGCAAAGCTCTCTAACTACAAGTCCATGTCTCCCGCGTGAGGAATTTGGCAGCTGCAACCTTCGTGTGGTCCGTGCGGCACACTTTCGCACCAACACTGTCTTTGTTCGGCCAGACAAGAAGAGAATGCGGCTGGTTCGCCAAGAGGGATAAAAAGCCTGGCTTTCCCTACATACTTCATTGCCACCTAATGACTTCCTGATTAGGAGTTTAAACTCTCAATTTTTGCGAGTTTTTACTCCAGCTCCTCCTCTGTCCGTGGGCTTAGCATCTAGTTTCTTTCCTCTGGATAACGTTGATAAATCATTATAAGGAACTAAAACTCGGGTCGAAGAAAGCAAGAAATTACAGTCCTCTGCTTCTTATAATCAACATCAGTAGACCTAGCCCTGCTCAGGAAGGTGCCATCGCCTTTGGGAAATGAATCAGTCTGACGAAGATCTTTACGACGGGGTTCAATGGACCAACCAAATCCATTTGTTGACGAATAATCTTTGCGTGGAACCACTGTTGGATGGGAATATGGTTTTCCTTTTCCTACTAAGTGTGACACTTTTCAAAATTTCCCTATAAACCACGCTTTCTATGGGAGAAATTTGATGCAACTTGTAGAAATACATACAAATTTCCCGTGGAGGGAATTTTGTCTCATTTAGATAGAAAATCAGAGTGGCGGACAGCTGTTCGGGCTCTTTTCTGTTTAGAGGTGCTGTAGAGCGCGCCAGAGCGTCGGGTCGTTCTATAGGAACTGAGCCGTCCGGCTCGTGATAATGATCACGAGTTGTTCACTGTAACGACGTTCAATTAAATCAAAATTAAACTCCTGCCTCCACTTCAGGAGATATATTTGAAACATATTGGAATGTGGCGCAGGAAATCGTAATTCTAGGCCTGTAGGCAGGAAGGATCTACATGTCCTCATATAGTCATGGATTTTATAGGACAATAAACACATACATACATATACACAGTGCCCTTCTATACAAGCTACTCGGGCCAAGGTGCTTGGAAAGCTTCAGAAACCTGCGCAGGATACCAACTTTTTTGGGGATTCTCTTATGCACCCATCTCCTACTCTCAGTGGAGATCAAATATAACTCTTCAAGTAACTAAACCTGACTAAACGGGAATCAAGGCAAGGAGTATTGGTTCCAGGTCTAATTTCTTTGAAATTTATATTTTTTTCGATTTTGGGGAAAGGAGCTTGCGCCGGCGCATATTTTTAACAGACCGCTGGTTTAGTAGTGGTTCATGCGGTGGAATCAAGCTGGGTATGTCCTAGATGTAGTACTGGCTGTGAACACCGGTCCTGTACTCATAGTGGACTTGGAGCTTTGGCTTAGGACCTTAATAAAACAAAAACAACAGCATCATCATAACTAAGACATTTACTGTATTTTTTCTTCTGTGGCTTCTAACTTTATTGCCGACCATTTAGGTAGCAGTGAGCTTTTAGAGCTCATTTAATCCTGTCACGTAAAAGATTTCAAATTGAAATCCAAGATAATTCAAATAATACCTCTACTTCTTTAAAAAATGTAGCCATTTCCGCATTAAAAGTTCTTTCAATATGCAAGGCAAGCCATAGGATGCTACATACACCGGCTCCGCCAGTCATGTACCAATATTATGGTTAGAGCCTAGGCTTAGCACCTTCAAATAAATGTATTCATCTTGTATATGAAACTATCCACGAGGAGGCTGGTGTCTGCAAGTATCCAGCCAGGTGGCATTAAAAAAGCGGTAATTTCAGCGTCGCCTAAAACCAAACTTTCAGAGATGGGTCTACTATTAGTATTTTTTTTTACTGTTTCGTTCCATTGTCCTGCCTGAGTCTATGAATATGTAGATCATGCAGGTTATTTCTGCCCACAGACCAAGCCTTCCTGTGCTAGTAGTATATCCCCTCCTATGCCTCCCATACAGCTCCCTCAAACAGAACCACCCCTCACAACCCCTCATTCAATCATACACTTAGAGGAGCCCTTAGCCCTTCGTTTTCTCCCCTCTCCAGCCAACGAAACGATGGCCATTTGCGGGTGCACGACAGCCGGGAAAAGTCGCAAAAATAACCGGGTGCGGAGCTCTCATAATACCGACATTGGGACTAAATCCGAAGACATAGTGCCCCTTCTGAAGCGTTCGAAGAGGCCGGCCAGCTGGGCGCTGCAGACTTGTGGGTACCTCGGGAAATTCACACTACGCCTTCCTAGCCTCATCCCAACTCTTTCCCCAAGCTCGTGCTTAGATGTCAGTAAAGTCTTGACAGAGCGTGATTGCTGTATGGTGGCTTAGCCCAACTTCTTTTGTACCGTCCAGGGCGCTGGGGAGTGCCGTTGACTCATCGACAAAAGAAGCCCTCCTGGCTAATTAGCCGAAATCTTGGTCTTGGCGCCCACAAATATTCCAAAGTTGAAAACACCTCAAAATACCAGTCCCAGCATGGTCATCAGAGACCTGTTCCCCCTCTCGCCCCACACCTCAGCCACCTGTCCTCCTCAAGTTGTTTGTCCCATTAGGACAACAGTCCTCAATAAACCAAGACCCCCAATTTTGTATATTATAACTTAATTTCCTCCATGCGGGTATACGTAGCGTCATAAATATGTAGTGAGTGATGGCCGGTAATGAATGAGGCAAGCTCCTGTTTGAAATTGAGGTGACGCCTTTATCGGTCGTCTAGGCGAGATGATGTGTGGTTCTAAAGAGGTTGAGGATTCAGAAGATAATGGTAAGTGCTGCAAGATTGAGAAGTCATCAAATTGAGATATGCATGTGTTTGCTTTCGACTTCGATTCGGATGCGATTCTTCTTGGATATCCCAGATATGCAGAGCGTACTGAGCGATTACACCGGCACCACTGGAAGGTGAAGAATTCGTCTTTGCCGGCGAGATGGGTCGATATTCAGGAAGCAAAACGAACATACAATCAGTAGGATACAATAATCCCAAAGGTTCTAGCAAAGGTTTTTATCTCGCTCCTTGACTTCTAGGAGATATAGAGCATAGCTTAGGACCTAAAAATAAAAAATAAATTAAAAAAGAGGTTTACTTACATCTTAGGAAACTAGGGCAAAAAGTTTACTGCGGGACTACACGGCATCCCTAGATGTCTTGCTACTCATCTGTAAATAGCCCCTGACTATCTGGCTGAAGAGGGGGATTAAAGACGTTTTTATTGCTCATGCAAATGTGCCTTAATCAACATCTCGATGCTGACAACGCTGGACGGAGCGCATTCATGAAACGTATCTACATGCCGGGAGGCATGAGAGACCTACACATTATGTTGTAGCCTGAATTGAGGAGGATAAAAAAGTTCAAAAGCATGTGTAAAGTATCCGACCCACTGACCCTTACATGCAACGTTCAGGTTTGGCGCGATCGAAGCGTACTATTTGCTGGTTGCATCGTATGAGAAAAATGTGTGCAAATTTTGCATCCTGAGGCATTACTGACACGCTTGACCAATGCTGATTATACAAGATCATGCAGGATGAGCACGTTCTTCACAGACCACAGAAGCCTGAAGTCGATGGTAAATTGCACTGAGTTTTGACAAATTGATTCCGCGATTTTTTTCAATTACGTGAAAATGTTTGGGACACCTGATATTCTACTCCTCCAAACGACTAACAAGCTTTTCGTGTCTTTGTCTAGAGAAAGACGCCGCGCCGCCATAAAAAGGCCCACTACAGCTGCCTATGTGACTGTTATCCACTTTAACGTTACGTATGACTGAGGAGCAACAATCTTTACTCCAAACTACCATGTATGCTGCATGTACTCAACACCGTTTGCCTTGTAATGTTAGGGTCCCATTCAAGCTGAGTTCAGGGTCAACTTACGCCTTGCATATCGATTCATTTTATCAAGTGTAAGATTCTCCTGCATTGTATTTTATTCATGCCTGACACCTATCGAAAACAATTCAATCCAAAGCAGCGGAACCTGAAGACAGGCTTGTGAATTCCATGACGATCCACGTGCACATGAGCACCTGCACGACGACCTCCGAAGTGTTTACTGAAAAATAGAGGCATTTTTGTAGATTGTTGCGCTAGCGTTGTGTGAAATCTCTTTTTTGAATCAAGATTGACTGAGCTGTGGAATGATAGAACGACAATTCTGGCAACTGAATGGCGGCCGGCGCACGGCTTTAAAGGAACGGTCAGAGAAAGCAGAATTGACGTCACATTGCCTATGAAAAATTAAGCGGGACAGATTGAAAATGACGGTTTCAGTGATGTGTGGAAGTTTGTAGAATTCTACAGACTGAGCTATAATGGTGACCCAAGCCTTATCAGAGGCTGATCATGTCTATCGATTCCCATCTGAACCTAATCAGCTCCTTGTAAGTTGCTTGAAGCACATGTCACCAGACCGTTATTAAGGGCTAAATGCGAGCCAGCCGTTATATACGACAGCTTAAGCATGTCTTGAGAGTGAAGCCAGCTGTTCCACATTATCGCATGATATGTTCCCACAAATAAGCTACAACGCCCCTATACAGATATAGATACAAAAAGAATAAGATTTGAGATGGTTGTAAGGTTGTAAGGTTCTTGCTCTAGAATTGAAAATAACACAAATTGACGATCGGGATTTTTAGAGTTAAAGATGAAGATTATGAGGAGCTAAATCTGTACCACAAGCACAAAGGTATGAGATTCCCACTTACTGATCAACAAAAGTTTTTTAAACTTCTGATAATTACTTGATAGAGGCCTCGAAATAACGTACTCCACAATACCAGCCGCTACAAGCCTTCAGCCCGTCAAGAATATTAAATCTTACATGGGAATCCCTGCATTTCTATGACCGAGCGAGACTTAATGCGAAGCACATGACCGCCTTAGTTGACTGCGCAAAACGCGCATGGTAGACAGAAGATTCTCAAAGCAATGCGATGGCGACTGTACGGCGACAAACATCTGCTGACATCCCATTAATCGCACAAACCTACACGTGCTGAAGTGTTAACTAGGCAAATAGGGAACTGCTGGGTCATTCGCATGTTATCAAAGAGTGCGACGGATCAAAATAGATGATCTCATTACTCGACAAACTGCTCTTACCTTTGACGAAAATTTGGTTGCTGTTTTCTTCGCAGTTAGTTTCACGACAGTCACTCTCGACCAAGACTTTTCCGACTTCCTTTCACGACCTTCAATTTGTCCTGCGGCATAAATCAGAGGAGAAGTAAGGATAAGGAGGCTAGGAAGATTGAATGACGCTCTTAGGTATACATAGGTCTGCTGAGCCTGACTGGATGGCTTCGTCATAGGAGAGCCCCGCACCCAGTGGTTTTTGAGACTTTTCCCTGCAGCTACACACCCGCAAATGGCCATCGTTTTGTTGGCTGGAGAGGAGAGCTAATGACGGGATAACGGATCCTCTTGGTGTGTACTCAAATGAAAAACTGTGGGGTTTGTTTGTTTGTTTGTTTGTTTGTTTGTGTTTGTGTTTTATTGTACTACTTGAGTCTATGACTATCTAGCACATTGGGCTCCTCTCTGACCCAGGCCACACCTTGTACAGTGCTCCTATCCTCTTTTGTTACTTGAAAGATCATTGATATATTCCCCTTGAAGAGCCATTCAGCTCAGTGTTTACCCGTGGAATTCGGCCACTTTTTCCACGGAACCTTCTACCCAAAAAAAATGGTAGCAACGGAAACTGCGTGCGCGGGAAAAAGTCTCAAAAAACATGCAGCTCAAGCTTGGCGAGGACTAGACTCCGGGACTACATAAGGTGCGCTCATCCATCTATATCGCTATTTTTTGTAACATTCGAGGCCTACTTGATCTAATCTACCATCGCCGTATCGGGTGCTGGGTACGCTCCGGAAACTCATCGGATGGCTTTTCCTCCATGATCAAGGGTGGGTGACGAGTAGGGCTCCGACCCTACCATCTGATCTGATCGTGGTTAGCTTCATGATAGTGCTGATAGGGGAGTGTGTTGAGAGATGAAGACGATACAGACCGCGAAAGCGATTGGGAATCCTCTTCGAAGTGAGGACTTTGTTACTCAATCTCGGCTCTGCAGACTCTACAGTGAGAGCTGGAGGTTCGTAGGGGACACCACTGACAGGTGTTGAGAATAGTCCCCCAAAACTGTGGGGTATTACTGCTGGAAAGGAGTTGTGAAGGAGGCCTAGGAGGGAGTAAACTATCCGAGGTATAGATACTCCCGGCCTGTAGGTAGAAAAGACCTATTTGTCCTGACATAGTTATAGACTAATTGAGACAATAAATACTCACTCATTAGCAGTTAGTTAATCTCTCATTACTAACGCTCGACAAATCTCATGAAATTTGGACATAAACTGGAACCTGCATGCGATATAGTTATGAGGCACAAAATGTCGATCCTTCTGTACGAAGAGTTGCAGTGCGTTATGCGAGGTCCTATGATTAACTGGGTGTTTAAGTGGGCCGGACAGCCGTTTACGGGGCAAAAGAACGCACGGAAGCTTGTGCACGATATGGATAGTGGCATAGGATGCAGCGAACTAGCTTGCTGCCTGATTTGACGTAGTCTAGTGTCAGGGGTATCGCACAGCCACAACTTCCTATTCACGAAACGAATTGCGGCGATGTCTTTGACTTGCATGCCCCGTGGATATTCATGCATTTAAACCAACATGAAAGCTAATTCACTGTTCGCCTGAGAGCTGCCGACAACTTTGTACGACCTGCACGTCACAATTATTTGCACCGTATCACAAGCTATGGCTAGAACAAGTGTGTAGCCCAATTCAATCAAGCTTATGGCACAGGAACGGCTTTATGACTTTTTGATAAATTTTCCTGCGTCCATAATTCCCATTCCTGGGTGCAGGCGACACTCTAAATACTGCCATGGCTGGATGGTGCAATGGTATATCGTCATGGCCGGTCTACCAAGTAGAGTCTGGATAGCTTGGACAAATATCCCACTTGAGACAGTAGGTCGCTGGTTCAAATCCGGCAAAACACAATCACATTTCTCGCGGTGCTGGTATGCATGGATGACGAAGGCATGCTTGGATAACCAAAGGTTTTGAAACGTCCCTTTGGTGGGTATTCACGGAGGAGGGTCGACTGTTTGTGTAAGCAAGCACACCTCATAGTAGTATTTGCGAATGAAATCCAGAGTATGAGTGTCTCTAACGGCAAAAGAGTCATCCATCATGTATACATAGCACCGGTCATGTGTCATAGCTTTATAGCTGAATACATATTAAATGATTTAAAAAGAAATAATAATAAAAAATATATATATATATACATAGTTCATTATCATAAATTGGCGCCTTGACATCCATGAAGATGTCTACGAACTTCATACTTACATAGGGGAGACATCGCGCTAATAGCTCCCTTAGCTGTCTGACTGGACTCTACGCCCATATAGTCTTAGCTCTAGGAAGTGCACTCAAACTGTTGTTGCCAGTGTAGATTCTGTCCTTGTCCTGTGTTTCCATTTTCCTCTCTTCGCCTGATTAGCGCCTCAATTTCTCCAGTCATCCGAAACTGCTCTAGCCATCCTTCCTTTAGAATACACTGTGCCATTATAGTCACATCTTTAGCGTTATTTACCATAGCTTCGAAAGATCGGGTGGTCGATTTTCGTGGCAACTCGCCTGTTCCCTTTGCCCATCTACGATGACACATCACCGTGTGCTTTATGTTTCGGGACGGATATCCACATTGGCAGCATGGTTTTCCTACTCCTGGCACAATCCTTCTGCGTAAGCAAGCATTGATCCCAATATCCTCGCTTCATACTTGTGTGGCAATGCTGCTCCGGGCCCTGCTGAGGTTTTGGTATTTTATTGTAACGGCTAGTGAGCCGATAATTGTCCTGTATCACGTGATGTTAATCACGTACCTCAACAATTCTGTGAAAGGCAAAACTTCACTCTAGTTTATTCTGAACATGACTAGAGGATTCTAGCAACTGGCATCGAGACTGTGAACTGGTATCAGGGAAACATAACAGAGGCTAGTATCAGACAGGAAGGAATATTCTAGATAGCCTAATAAGTGTTGAGATGAAATAATTATTGATCTATTAATTAGAGTAAAATTGCATGAGGAAAACTATAACGAACTATTACTATCTTATATACATAATTAGCAGTCCACGAGTGATCTAGTTCTTCAACGACGGTGCAAGTGTCCTCTACTGGTACCCTGGTAGAAGTGAGTGATCTGTCTTCCTGCCTCCCGTTTAATGGCGGAAGGTCAGCATCATGTGACTGACATCTCTTTCAACCTAACACCACACAAATGTTCTACCTAGCTGGTAAACACTAACAGCCAGGTAAATGTATGACTCATTTGCTATTTAGCTTATACTAACATTGTATATTCTAGGTTTCAACACTCCTCCTGACTAACAAGTCTAGTAGCCTTGTTAGGGACCACAACTCGAATTACAAGTGTTTTTGAATTGATATGTCTGTTAAACATTTTCTGAGGGCTTCTCCAGCGTGTGCCATAGCTTTTTAAAATTCGCCTTAAAACTTATGAAATATTTTATTGCAAATTGGCACAGCTTTTGAGTGAGGTAGGGGCTTTGTAAGTATATCTGCCAGCATTTCACATGATGGTATGAACTCAACTTTGATAGTACCTTTTTGGACGCAGTCTCTTGCGAAGTGATAGGCTACATCAATATGTTTAGCTTTAGTTGAATTAGTACCATTGACTATGGCCAATGCACTCTGGTTATCTGTGTAAACCTTCATCCCGGAATTTCCGATAAGTTCCTTAGAAGCAT